GTGTTCAGTTAATAATATAAAATTATATATTTTGGAGCACTAATAGTAATTTACTTATGGTTTTCAAAACACCAATTCACAAAAGATTATTATTTTATACCTTTGACCAATAGATCATTCAGGTAATCAGGTTGCACATAAAGTGTCAGTTACATATATTGGCTTCATGAAAGGTCTTATACATAGCACCTATTACCTTATTTACCTAATGACCGCAGAACAAAGGTCTCACAGCTAGTATAATATATTGATTTTTTGAGCACACATGCTTTTAGATATGTAATAGCTTTGGTTTTTCATTTTCATTGGACAACATAAACAATAAAGGCATATAAAAAGAGCATGAAACATTACAGTCAAATTACTGTCACATTTAAGGGTAACCATGTTAAATAATTTTACTAGAGATTGTGTTTGGCAAATTTTGAATTAAGTGACATTGCAGTTTATTGTTTTGAATATTGCCCCTGGCATTGCTGTTTTACAGCTTTTGTGTAAGGTGGTTTAGACCGCCTTTAACCATCAGCTCACTTGGGCAGCACATCTTGTGTTGCCCATCAGTGAGAATTGCAAAGACAATATTCAAGACATGTATACATTTATGTTGATGCAGTTCTGCTGCTGTGTAAGGTGGATTCCGCCTTTTACCAGTACCTCTTTTGAGTGGCTTGCCCGCTCATTAATTAAACACGCCCCTCGTGGAAACCAGCCTAGAGTTGATGGGGCTGGCATGTTTCTTGCGATTTCCACGTTTTCATGCGATTTCCACTTCTGTTCGTGAGCTTTCGTTCGTGTTCATAATTTTTTGATTCCTGTTCACTCGTGTTCGTGATCTTTGGTTCGTGTTCATGATTTTTTGACTCGTGTTCATTCGTGTTCATAATTTTTTTATTCGTGTTCACTCGTGTTCGTGATCTTTGGTTCGTGTTCATGATTTTTTGACCCGTGTTCACTCGTGTTCATTCCTGTTGATGATTTTTTAACTGGTGTTCACAAGCGTTCATATTTCTTGAGTCGTATTCTGACTCGTGTCCACTGGTGTTCATTCGTGTTCACTCGCGTTCTGACTCGTGTGTTGTTTTTGAACAGATCATGGCAAGAATCGAACCTACGCTTTTGCGATGCCGGTGAAATGCCCTTGCCATTGAGAACGTATATTTGACTCATTTTTCCATCCACTGTTCCTGGCTTGAATTTGAAGTGTGTATAATACCACTCGAAATTAAGACCTTTTAACCTATTTGATTCTTGATAATACAATCGCGTTCTTCCAACAGCTCCGTTTTAACCGTGTACTTAAGGGTAGACGGCTTGGTAAAGGAGACAATAAAACCTGACACGAGTGGGTCATTTTGGTATGACCAAAGCTGGTTCAGGATACTTAGAACATATCATCGTCGTCGTCATCATCATCTCTGCCTTTGTTTTCCTTCACATGTTCACATCGTTTAAAAACTTCTTAATAAGAAACTTTCGCTTATCAACGGCACCTTCTATTGCTTCTTCTTGGTCAAAATCATCATTTGTAATAAACATATTTTCTTATGTACCGGATCTTTCTTCAGTTGTCTCATCCACAAATGGCGCTTTAAATAGATATTTTCTAATTCTTCCTGGAGTCTAGCATGGCATTGAAGTAAGCTTTCTTTTTAGCATAGTGCTCATCAAACTGTTTATAAGGCTTTCTTTCATTTCCTCGAATACTGTGTTACTTCTATGTTATGCTTCTTCTATTAACGGCATCCAGGGATCCAATTCTTCTTCACATTCTGAGTCCGTTGTCGTCGAACTTCCAGATTGCTGAGTGGAAGTGGTCGAGACATCATCTTGGAAATCACTTTCTTGACTGTCCGAGTCTGTTTGAGACATGTTTCTTTCTTGTTCTCGTAGTAGGCAATACTCCCGTTCGGGTCTGCGCTGATTGTAACTGCGGCTGAAATATCTTCTGCAAAATTGGCAGCTCATCCCCTTAGCACTAGAAGTGTGTAAATGCCTTGTTATCGAGCAGCAACGCAGTTTTATGAGCAGATGTCTGCTCATGTGTAGTTATGAGGATGTGCTAATCTGCTCAACGGTACTTTTTCCTAGTCCAGTACATTCACACAAACTAAAATGTTAGCAATCCCTTATGTACTTTCTTCGTTTCCCCCTAGATAGAGGTTGTTCGTTTGCAGTGCTTAGGTAAACATTAAAGTTTCTCTCCATCTCTTCTTGATAATAAATTTCTCTCCATCGCGCTCTAATAAATTTTCCAGACACTCCTCCATATCGAATTCCTTTGGTTCTTTACTCTGTCGAGGTACACATATTCCTTTCTTACTCCACTTTAACCATCTCTTGCGTTCCTCTGTGCCCATATCGTGTACTTGGTCGAGATGATTTGCTAACCTTGCTAAATTTGTACTACCACAGCTAAACACAGGACAGCTCCTACGAGTGCGACGCATATTTAGATGATTGCTCAACAAATTCCTAATAATAATTGGCTCATTTTTTTCGTAAGTCAGGTATTTTATTAGGCCCGTTTGGGCCCTATATGGCCTTATATGGCACTATTAGGCCCGATGGCCCGATTGCTGCATGACTAGGCGTCCTAACCCGGACAAGTCCGGGCTTTTCAATGCAAACTCTTGCTTACGGAAGAAAAAGTCAAACGATCTAAACAAGAAAACAGTGTAGTGCCCGGACAATATGTTTAAAATATTTGTAAAATTGTTCTACTTAATTACATTGTTACAAGCGTTAATACGTGTCTTAATTTATGCTTCAAGCATCGCGTTGTCCATAACACCAATATATATTTCGATTCGCTCTAAAAATGCACACATTTTCGCATTCGCAATACCCCCCTTTTTCCTCCCTTTGAGGAGTTTGGGCCTGAAATATCTCATTGAGCGGATGAGCATCTGCTCATGAGCATTTATGAGCATGTGCTCATAGGCCCGTTTGGGACTTATATGGCCTTATATGACCCTATTAGGCACGATGGCCCGATTGCTGACTGCATGGGCATCTTAACACCCGAATATGGACAAATATTCGATTAAACATTGGGGAATAAATGTTCCCTTAGAACATTCCTCTGCAACACTGCAAATCTATACGTCGTATACGTACACATCTTTTTATTATATGTATACGAATATAACGCCCATACGATATGTGACCTTCCACGGGAAAACGTACGTTAACGATATTTCGTTGAAACGGCAAAACGAACGGATAACGAACGGGTAGTGAACGATCTGTAATAACGTTTCAACGAACCCAGAAAACGTTTTGACGAATTCAGCTAAAAATGTGAACGTTTAAAGTCGAGAATACGAACGGATAAATAAACGTTCAATCTGAAGCCGTTTGAACGATTTATGTTTATGAACGGTTTTAACGAATTTGTCTGAACGCCTGTTGCGCGTATAATTGACGCAAGATATTATTGACTAATTTATCTAATTAAAAGAATAGGAAATATTTTCAAACAAGTAACATGTGTTGTTCCAAGTATGTGTGTACATAAATAGCTATACCTTCATTTGAATGTTTAACTAAAATTATTAGCTATACTACCTAAATCCCATTATTTTATACTTTATATACATATATACATTGGCGTTTTGCATCAAAATTCGGGTTAATCGTTAGAAAGCCTTCAGTTATTAGTATATATCATCGTTATGTCAAATTAATGCATCATCTGCAACTATACCCATCAAAATATTCAGCGCGTGTTCATTTGCAACATCGTTACAGGTTTTGTAAATTTTTCCACGAACAAACTCTATGTATGAGTGGTTAAAGACATATAAACAAAGACATACAGGCGATACAGCATGCATCCGTTTTATTAACACGGCTGTAAACCGACAGTAAACAAAAATTGCCGTCTCAGTTTGGTTGAGTTTCAGCTACTGGATACATACTTTATGTTAAACTAAACACAAGAGATTCCATTGTACACTTTTGTTTATACTCTTTGACGCGCAAACGATTAAATTAATTAGCGCAAGGATCAAGTTGTTTACCGATGATAACCAAACATTAATACAGAATATCGCATACGCAAAGTTCGTTTGTATGCGAACCAGCGTAGTAACGTGTGCTTGCATGCTGTCAAAACTTATTTGGTATAAATACTACATTAAATATCCACACCATTTATACACATGAAATCCACATTTCAATTTCAGCAATGCATTGCGGTAATAAAATATTTAAAATATAGGCTTGGATATTTACCTAGTGCACACAATATGTTCCGTGCAGCAACACCAGTAGCCTAGCTTTAGCCGCGGTCAAGCTTGTCGCGGAATGTCGCCTATACACAGTACTGTCAGTAGCAAGTCACTAGCAACTAAGGGCATCATTACCTTAAGAATATTTTAAATTTGACAATAATCTATTTTGTCGATTGCATGCACCATCGCTATATTTTCTTTCGCAAAGCTAAAGCTGCAATGTCGCTATTTCTGCCGCCATATTTTTTTCATATTAGTTACATATTTTGTGACCATACGATCACATATGCATGTGTTATGATTTTTAACCAGTATAACAAGTCGCTAATTAATACTTGTGATCTAACTAAATTATTGGTGGTCACTATATTCATTCCCCCCATATATTCGACCATCTACATAGTTAACTGTGTAAAAATGCCTAAGCTAACTGCATGAGCCTAACAATAGTGACCTAAAGAAATAGAACGCATAAATTAGTGGGATAATTTTCGAAATCTTCATTTCAAACGACCGCGGCAATCCGCAATCCTAAAGGTCCGAAAATCCGCCCTGCAAAGCAACTTAATACTCAACCCCGGCAGCAAGACAAAAGTGCACATTATTTTTACTAAAGCATATAGCAATAGCACACGGCCCATATAGAAACCGAGTTTTTAAATCACAAAGAGTGCAAATAATTTTTTTCTGCAAAGCTTATAACAATGCTGCCGCCCATATAGAAACGACAATGCCAAATGCATGCACAGGGGAGTTTATACTCACCATTTTAAGAAACACCCGATCCTTAACATCTTCGAGACATCTACTTGTGACACAATTTGTGCCGCCTGCTTACAATAAAATTAACTAATCAAGATTTCCCCAGACAGATGATTAAGGCATGCATCAAAGCATCAATCCATTTTGTCTTGCGAAAACTTTTATATCATATAATTATATATATATTCAAGGTAGCATCTACCCACACATTTTTTGACAAATGTCAGAAAAGTTTGCAAACAATTGTTGTTTCAATGTGAGTAAATGCATCCTATTAAATTGTAACCACCAAGCTAACAACTACTCTAACCTCAGCCAAGCCATTTTAAAGGTCTGGCAACCTTTCATGTCATGTTTATTCGGAATGATTGGATGATCGTGGCCCAACTCGATTCCACCGGCCATGGCAAGTAATCTAAAGGATTATATTGCAGTGCGCATTTATATCCGACTCCATTTTACTCGCGTTAGCATATATACATAAAATGCAATTGAGAACGTCTTGTTATATACAATTGCATGATCATCTATATGAAATCTTACTTCGAATGCGTGTCATATTTCGATATATGCATGGATCAATAGAGAGCTACAGTTTAGCCAGGCAAACACACTCAAGGAAAAAGAACTTTAAATCGAGCCAACCGTAATACGATTCTGTTGATGATTTCATCGATAAGCCTGATTTCAATGCTGGGAGGGAAATAATTGCAAGCGCGCCTAATAAAGTATGCCCAGTCATGACTTGCCTTATATAATAGCCAATGTTTCGTATAGTCTCATACCTTTATATGCAGGGGTAAAACGCCTTGACTTCTCCATATAGATGTTAATATCCAGCAAATATTTGGTTTAGTCTTCGCGAAATTACTGGTAAAGATCTTTACCCGCGCGCTCATATACGCATAAACAGTTGATAGGCGCCATTTCAAATTTGTTCATTTTGCCGTTCTAGCTGGCAGGCTTCAAGGTGCAATGACCATGCATAATTGCAATTTAATATCCGGAATGTAATTTCCTAATAAAGGAGCCCAAATCAAAATTAGTGAATATTTTCCTGTTGCCCAAGCAGCTGATATGTTGTCCAAGCAAGATAAATTCTAATGTTCGTTTTCTGATGAAGTATGGCGAAATATATATAAGCGAAATATCCGAAAGGTCAAACTTAAATGTTTGTACACGTTAGCTTGGCAACTTGCCCTTGGGCTTGGGCCAGTTGTGCGCAAGGCTGCACGCACTTGGTTAAAACATAGCGCTAAACTCAATCTCACAAAACACGGAATTTGTAAACGGCGTCTTTGATGGTTTATGGTAGTTTAATATCAACAAAACTTAAATGGTATAATATAGATCATAATTTCTGTTTTGTTATATTTTTCACACGGGCCACAGCTCTAATTATGTTGACCAGATGATATTTTGTGCATTATCAAAGCCTATAGGCTAAATTTCCCCGAGCAATATTATGATGTTCATTGTACGACACTCTTGTTTTTTTATTGTAATAAACAATGTCACACAATGAACATCATTGATATAGCTTCATTACTTTCATACATGCAGTCTCTATGATTTGTACGATTTGAGACTTTTCCGCGTTCCACGTTTCCGATTCGAGGAGCTAGTCGAGAGAAATCAAATCACAACCAAAATATAGCTACATGCATGGGGAGTGAATTGTGCTGAAATGTATGGGCGGCCGTTACCACCAAAAATGTTACACGTGTGAAATGAATGGACATAAACAGAAATCATTCATAACAAACACGAATGATTCAATGTGTTTAGAAATGCTTGAACATATTGTAGTAATATGACTGGACAAAACAAGAAATGACTCGTTCAAAGTTGAAACGATTCACTTCACTGTGTATTAATTCGGCTATTATTGAACTGATTCGTATGGACCAAGTGAAATGACTTGATGTATTTTGCAGTGACGCAACAAGTCGTATAAGAGTGACCCAGTAAGCTGTCAAATAATTCATGCTTTTTTACAGCCATCCGATGTGTTTTAAAATAGCTCAACTAAATTCGACACCATTCAACCAGATGAGACGCGATTCGATCTAATATGCGACAATGTAACTCAATGTGAAACGGCCCAGTTAAAGGCGGCGTCGTTCAGCTAGATGTGAACAGATTCAAAATCATGTGAAATCACTCAAATAAATGTGAAATCACTCAACAAGATGTGAAATGGCTTCACCAAAGGTGAAACGATTCGCGTCCAAGTGAAATGACACGGCATATTTTGATTTGACGTAACTTGTGCGTTCTTGACACGTCTTGTTGTAAGTTGATTCATCATGTTGTGAAGTGAATCAACAAGATGCTTCCATCTTGTTATTTAT